AATTAACTAAATCTGCATTTGGTATATTTGAAACTTTGACCTACATTCGGTTTGGGTACAACTTTTTTTCTCTCTTCATTTCTCACCGTATTTATTTAAATCAGATCCAGAACAGAAATTTGGGCTTCACATTTTCTGCATGTTGTTATGCGTAATCGCAGTTGGGTTCATTGAAAATGTAGCGCATGTCATGATGATAGTTACCGTTGTCACGCCATCATCAGAATCATCTTCAGTGCGGAGATACATGAGGGAAAAATCAAAACCATTCACCAAAACTATACAAGTTCTGTGTACCGATAGGAACATCATGCTGACAAGCACACTAACCATTTAATTCCCATGATTAAATCATTTGCATATTAAATCACACGATGGAATACACACACACACACCCACAGTCTCTGCTTGGCGTCTGTGGTGTTGATGCTCTAAATGTCAAATGTATGCATTCGAAATTTTTAAATTAAATTACGTGCTCTTCGATGGATCATGTGCCTTCAGGAGTTTACTTTTTACCTGCTATCGTTATTCAAGCTTCATCATTTGCTAATCACTTTTCTTTCTCGGTGGCATTCGATTCGTTTTTTCTCGACTAAAACTATTCGGATTCGGATTCGGATTCGGATTCGGATTTAAAGTGAAAACGGATTTCGATTTAAATCAAAATTCACCACCGACGAACATATAAAAACACAGGGATAAAAACAGCATCCGACAAGAAATAAAAGAATTTCGTGATTCGTTGACTTTGCACACAAACGAACAAGTGACAACTAAAGTCAAAACATAATCTCATTGCGATTATTCTATGAACATGCCATAGTCTCAGTTTATCTTTTTTTTTTTGCTCGTGCTCGCTTCGATCAATGCGATTAACTTGAGAATGAAAACATGCAAGATGCCTTGAAGAGTGCGATTTCCATGAAACTGCGGGAAAATGTGGATTTGAATGGGTTACTGAAGAGCCGAGCTCTTTTAATCAAAGCACAAAATTAGATGACCATTTTCAAAATACGTGCAACACTATCATATCCTTTGGCAAAATTGGTGCCGCTCCAATTTCGGGAGACATTCACGAAATATGAAATTCGAATGAACATCACTGGGCTTATATGCAATTTCGTTGATGAATGGACAAAAATCATGGCACTCATCATGGAATAGGTGAGAAAAAAAATCCTTCAAATCTGTTCGGAAGTAATTTCGCACGAAATGGTTTTATTTCCGGTCGTTTCATGTTGACTAAAACGATTTTTCGCTGGGGTTGAACAAGGGTTGCGGGAATTGCATACGCAATCACACTACACTCTCTATATATCGTTTCACATTGTCATATTCGACCATGTGAGAGAGTAAATAAGTGTTTCGCAGACAATTTCACTATCATCGAGACCGATGAATAGTCATAATTTCTCCACCGACGACGGAAACACTCTAATATTTTATCACAATTCTATCCAGGCTGATCTTTGGGGTAAGATTTATTCAAGGTTTTGAGCAAGAGGAAGAGTGAAAAAAAGCGGCCGTTGTGTTCATACAGCCATGCAACGGTATGCAATTATGTGAATTTATGCACGAACAAAAGTGTTAAATTCAACACATTCAGAGTGAAGAAGAAATAAGATCGAATATTTCGAGAGATTTTAAGAGTATTCGGCCAAAGAGAGAAACACTTGAGCTTCTGTGTTGAGCTCAAGCTTTTGTGCTACGTTTTGATGAGAGCAAAAGAAACCGATTGAATCTAATGGTATACCGTCAATGTAATTAACTATTCAATTAAAGTCGATTTAATAGAAAATTGAAATTTGAGATGCTCAAGTGCATCCAAGCCAATATTCTGAATACAATGCATTCACATAGTAGAATCCCATTTGTTCCATTCATGGGGTATGCTATGGTAAATACAAAATGAATGTGATGGGCTGTAATCGGGTTGAGATTAGGACATCGGAAACGATACACCAATTTAATCCAATAATTCCGAATCAATATATCGTTATAGATGTATACAAAGTGATTCAATAAACTAGTCAATTGAAGTGCATAAAAAGTGGCGCGTTAAAAGAGGACGCATCGACTAAATATATATATAAAGCCGATAACGGCAGCATCAATGACATTATAATACAATGGCTAATGCATGGCGCATACAATTCAACTCTCACACTCCATCTTCTGGTCATTGTTTGATCGTTTGTCGTACACAAATCGAGAGATATTATTCGCATCGTGTAGCGTCAATACGCAAGTGAAATGGGATTTGGATGCAAGTGAATGAGAGAGAGAGAGAGAGATCCCAGAAAGACTTTAAGTGCCGAACAACAGATCAAAGGTTATTAATTAATATGGTAGGACTTTGGCCACTCGCACAATCGCATTTGCATACGTGTGTTTTCAAACAAATGGGCATGAGATTAATTCAACTTGCGGCGACCAGTAGCCAGTTCATACAATGGCAAAACGACACCAGAAGCCAGTGAATTGAATGTTCATACTTTCGATTTCGCACACACAAACACACACACACAGAGAGAGCAAATTGCACGGTAAACGGCAAGTCAGTGCATCGAATTCATATGTTCCATCAATATTCTTGAGTGGTTTTCAGGGCTGCTTTAGAAAGATACTAAGCTAAATAAAATTACATGTTTCTCAGAGTCGGCCGTTCTTTGAACACGGCAATAAATTGAATCTCCTGCAAATGTTCATGCATCGTATCATATATATACCATCGTGAAATACTCTGCCTTGTTTCTTCAGCTATTCCTATTTAAAATACCTCTTAATTTATGATTTAATTATAAACTTTCATCCGGACATTATTATTATTCGATTACATCTCCATTCCGTTCTTCGCTGAGAGAGAAAACTGATTGATGAACGACAACGATGATGATGGCGACGACGACGACGGCAGTATTGTGCATCGCAAACTGGAACAGTGTTCGCTTTGTATTTAATTGACGATAAGTGGCAATTTTAAATGTTTTTAGCAAAACATTTTGATGCTAATCAATTTAGAAATGCCTAATAATATTAATGATACATTGGCGAAAACAAAAACTCATACATTTCAGCGGATGCCGGGGAAAATGTGGGAAGTTTGCGTGTTATCGAAACACATATATAGTGAAATCAAACAACGGACTAGAGAGATAGAAAAGCATCATTTGTTGCCTTCATTCAAATGTTCGTTTCATTTGTAATTGATAGCGGTGTAACATCAATGCCATCAAAAGAACCGATTTTCAAAATTGTTGTTTTCATCATGTTGTTGCAACAAACACGTACACACAGTCTAATGGGGTTCGCCTGACAAATGAATGATGCGATGCAATATGCAAAATATAGAGCCAATGAAATATCAGTCAGCTATATTAACCAAACGAAATTAATAATGTGATTGTGTATTGACAAACAACACAAAGACACACGGAGAGAGAGAGAGCGAGAGAGCGAGAGGGGCAACGAGTGGGAGAGAGAAAAGTCTTTTATTGCCGTTTGTACACATGATAATAATGTTGTAATGCAAAATGAGCAGCAATTTGTGTACATTGCGTCGGCTAAATTGATGCATGTAACCTTTTCACTAGGCTAAAAATGCTTTTCACTTCGCACTTTTGTCGTGTGTGCACACATAGAATAACATTTTCATTGGCTCGAATGCAACCCTCCTGTTTCATGTTTTTCAAAGAGACGCTTTTTTTCTACTCACGCTCTCGCTCACTCTCGTCCTCTCTTTCACTCTCCGTGTTTATCTGCCCCAGTACACGGCAGCTTGTTATCTCCAGTGTTCAGACTGCCATACGAAACACATCATCAAACATATTTTTTTTTTGCTCTGACGAACACTGGAAAAACTTGCCGTTTCCCCTGATTGTTTATTGGCTGCATATGTATTTATGAACCACACATCTATGCCATGCGAAACCAGTCAAGTGCGCATATTTTAGTGTCCTAGAATATTTTAATGAGCTTGTTTATTGATCATCAGCATATTTCGTGCATATTTGAAACTAATTTTAATGATTTATTGTACGATTCTTTCGAATGAAAATTCGATTCAAAATGAGCGTCATTGCAATTTGATATGTGAACCAGAATGAATCGAAATAAAAGGAGTGATTGGAATGAATGCTTTATGAAAATTACAATCCAACCGATAGATAAATGAAAACGAACGACAGCCATCCCGATTTGAATGGCCAAAGCAGACAAAAACGATGAATCGTTTTACATACAAAATTGAAAGTGCGAAAATCCTTATCTCATGAACTATTCTCACTTCAGAGAACGTGATTTAAAAATGGAATAGACAAAAAAAAAATCTATCAGTCAATTAACATGAGAAAAAGCGATTTTAATTAATTTTTTTTTTTCATGTGTATATACCGCTGACCAGTTGTGTTCGTGTGGTTCCTCGTTTTTTGAACACTAAATTGAACTTGCCTTTGAATGAATTGACTGTTTACAGGTTTGTTTTTGTTATTCTGTGTGCAGATAGGTGCTGCCATGCATTTTGTTGATGTGGCCGTAGTGGTTCAGTTGTTTTTACAAAACAATTCTCCATTCTCTGACAAACCAGTGGCAATTTTTTTTCCATTTTCCCACCTGAAATGGCTATACACATGGATCGTGGTTTGCATTCGAACTCGATTATATCATGCTCACGAGCTGATGAAATGGAATAATCGTCCCACAATTCATGTCCAGTTTTTGCCATTCATTGCGGCAACCGACTCTTTCATGAAACAACAACAACAACAACAAAAAATCGGTATCATTCAATTTCAGAATGGCACATTCGGAGCTGATTGTCGTCATCATCGTGTTAGGACAATTTCGTGAATGCAATAATTTTTTTTCATTTAACGCAAACAATCGTCACCCAAGATATGCACAATAGAACATTTTAATTGAATATTTAGTTTACAGTGCGATTTTTACACCATTTATTTTTCTACGTCGTCATATGATAAAAAGTCAATTAAAATTCCAAATAAAATCACGATTTATTCGTTCAACTAATTTTTTCTGAGTGTAGTGTGTGTGGATGGGTCCAATGTTCATTGATGGTTCGGCAAAGTTTTGTAAGCATGATTCCAAATATCAACTAGGCAAACGGACGCATGAAATCGATAAAACATCATTAGTGGAAGTGATATGTGGTTTAAGATGTTCCAAAGCTTATATCCGTAGTAAGTATACCTGATGGAGAAAAACAATTGATTGAGAAAAATGTTATTTGTCAGAAATTATTTCGTTGTATATTTTTATTTGAGAATGTTTTATATTTAATTCGGCAATTCTACTAACCGTTCATCATCTGTATAGTGTGATTTGCCGGAAAATGTGTTATAAATCCAAAATGACATGTTTGCCATGGCCAAAAATATAACAAATCCTTGGCCAATTTTCTTTTTTTGTAAAAATGCCGATTTTGAACATCGTCTTTTTCCATCGATTATGAATGGAGTTTGGATTAATACTTGGACAATGCGACAAATCGATACGCACGCTGATAGCACCGCACCGATATGAATGGCCGCTGCTAATGAAAAAAGAAATTCCATGAAGAATGCTGGCACAGCGATTAGCAGTAAAATGTCGTCCATTTTTAGGCCTGGATCAAAAATGATGTCCAGTTTTATAGTTTGCGAATAGGCGATGAGAGTGGCTACGGTCAGGATAGTTAGCACGGTACACTCGAAGATGTCATTGATCGTGATACTCGTTTTCAGGTATATTCTAATGTGATATGTGTTTGTTATTGAATAAATTACAATTAGAATAAAAATGAATTTGATCGGTTTGGGAATTCATTTGACAAAGTTCAAAATTGAAAAAAAATATTGGGACTATTTTGGTATTGAATTCTCGTATTTCTCATAAATCTCTTCTTATACACTACCGTGCAAAAAGTTTGGAACCACTGATATATATCAAGAGTGCAGGTGTTTCCGGAATATGTTAATGAGTCCACCAAAAATGGTTAATTTGTATGAAAAATACCTAGTGGTTCCAAACTTTTGCACGGTAGTGTATGGCTTTACCTATTTTGAAATCCAACAAACATCACAATGATGAAAACGATGGTCATGATAGCAAGTAAAAGGCCGACAAAAATTCCATGATAACTTGATTGGCAGTCAGCGTATACATGTGACACCGTTTCAATGTCTTTATCATGCTCCGAAGTGTTTTCATAACGTTCTGGCAAGTAAATCGTAGATGAGTCTGTTGAAAAAACTGCTAAAGTGATTAACTAAATTTAAATAAAAAAAAAACTTTTAGTGCAATTCAATCACCAGTACCACCTTGTTGTGAGGATGGTGCCTCAGTCTCGTCACAGCTGGTGTTAACCGTTTTGCGTGGGCATTGATTCATACTGAGATAGATTTTACACCAAATTCCAACCAGTAAAATGCAATACTCAATCACAAACGGATATAAATACGGTGCAAATTGGCGATGTACAGCGTTTAGTGCATTCGACTTACCACAGTCATTATATACAAAATCAAATGATTCATTTGGCTGGGCGACACGGAACATGGCTGTCGATTGGAAAACACATTTCCGTTTTGAAAGAAAATTTAATAAAACTCTTGATTGGATGGTTGGTTTTTACCCGAAATTTCGGCATCTGATTTAGCGATGGCGTCGGCTGTCTCTCGAATTATCGTGAACACCCACAGCGCGAGCGATGTTCCAATGGCATGCATAATAAATATTCGCGCCACATTTTGATTCACATTGATAACCACATTCATGTATTTTACAATGAAAAATAACGAAAATAATGAATAGAGCGGAAATAAAATGTTCATGGAGAGCGTTATATACGACGCACAATCGTACAGATAGTCTCCGTTAGACGATATAAAATAGGCATCGTAGGTGATTTGAAGTACGAAATACAAGACAAGACCAAATGCAAACCCTGTTGAAATCAAACGAATTACAAAGACAATGAATTTTTCGAGTGAATTTCTCTAAATCACGCAGTAATGCTTACACAAAGCACCCAGTTTGATGTAGAGAGAGCCTCCATTTCGACCTGATATAAAACAGTACTTGTGCGACAAATCCTCTTCGATCGATGGCAAGTTCAACTCTCTTGCAGCTTGTGCATAAACCGCTTGTTTCTCTCTGCTTTCATTGAAATTAATGGGTCCATCGGCATTCAACTGGGTTGCAGGAAATAACAAATTACTCAACAATTTAGAAATTAGTTGGAAAAAATTAGAGCAAATTTTTTTTTTCTCTCATAAACTTACCTTTTTAATGATGTGTGCATCAATCAATTTCTTTCGTTCCAATCGTCGTTTGAGTTGGTTTTTTGCGCGATAAACATAGCACCGGATGTCGATGTACAGATACAGGAAGTATGCAAATGCCATTAATAGCATATAAATGCAAAAAACCTTTGGAAGAATATTGGACATTGCAGAATATTTTAAAATATAATTATATTTTAAAAGAATTATAATTCTTTTATTTGCATTCAGTCCTTGTGTTCACTTAAAAACTATAATTTTTTTTTAAACTATCGTGCCATAAAATTCAATTTCCCTTTTACCTGCGGAAGTGGATATTGGCTGTCAACAACATCGCCGATGAATACGATTGCACCAAACACAACCAAAAAGATTGCATAGCAAATTGAGAATACGGTCACAAAATAGCGCCTGTTCAATGGAGATAACAAAGTCAAATCAAATCGAAATCAACCGAAGGAATGCATCCCGTCCAATGGTTAAAATTTACCAACAGGCTTGACACAATTCAAAACAATGGAAAGCAATTAAGTGGGCTATTCCACACATACACACAATTGATCGAACAATCTAATTATATGAGCGATAATGAATACACTTTGTGAGTCCAGTGATTGCGAAGTTGGGTGCAATATTTCGAATTACCTTGCTAATTTCCGCCTTTCATTATTGGTCGAGTCTTCTGCATCGTTCCGATTACCACCGTCATCCAATTGGTTCATTGTCGTCAACTCAGGGAAGCCACGAACCGTCGTCAATGGTTTTGCGTTCCATAATTGTCCATTTTCGATTCGGGGTGCATTCATTGAATTTTGCAGTTCACCGGTTGTACCGATTACCTTGCGTGAATTTGGTATGAAATCATCTCTGAGATTTGCATCATTTTCGTTGAAGTATCTTTTATGCTGAAAATAATGGAATTCATGCGGTTTTCCAAGAATTTTCCACATTCCACATCTTCTATTTTTATGAATCGAACTGAAATGCGCTAGAAAATCATTCGACTGGCACTGGTTGTGAGTGAATCATGTCTTTGGCGAATTAAATCATCAAAACGGATAATTCGATAAAGTGTTTTTAGCGTGAAAAGGTTCTTTATACTCGGTTAAATTTAATCCGTTTCGCTGATCAATATGTATTTATCAAAGCAAGAATTTGTATGCCAGACACCGATACAGAGCGAGTGTGGCTAAATCAAGAAAAACCATCCTTTTGGTCCATTGGAGTCTCTTAACTTGTAAATTATGTAAATTATTGAATTAGATGATGCCAATGGTATAGTTTTTTTTTAATGTGCTAAAAACGATTTCCTTCCTAGTCGAGAAATAGTTTTCCACTTCGATGACCATTGAACGGTTGAACATATTCCAACCCAATTTTTCAAGCACATGCCGTGCCGAAAGATGAAAGCCTTCTCATTTGGGCACAATATGTGACACACAGCAGTATTGGAACAAAATATGGAAAAAGAGACCGTTTTTCTAGTAAAATTTTCAAATTTGTGTCAAATCATTGCATATCTATTGAAACTAAATTTAGACTTTGAAACCGTCTCTACTGAGTAGCAGCAGCAGCAGCAACAACAGCACCATCAGTCTTCGATTCAAGAAACATCGCATTTCACGTGGATTTTGAATTCAATAGATTTATACTAAGCTGAAAAACAAACATAAATCGACCGATATATGGTAGAGCATATATACGGTGTGGTGCCATTCCGAAGTGGCATTCTTTTTGTTTTCGCTTAACTTGTCTTCTCCAACGGAATAAATAGACATTCAACAGTTGATACAATGCCACGGGTGGGAGATATAAAATGTGTTCTCTCATTCTCTCCAATCGATGTAATAATAAACTAAAGATAAACGTATTTGCAACAGATTTGGTCGGATGTGCTCTCATTCTCGTTCCACCTCTATCTTTACATCTTGTTCGGCACAAAATTTCCACTCAATAAATTTGAACAAGTAAAACAACAACACCGTTACCGTCACCATCACCACCACCATCACCACCACCACCACCGTCGCTGGCTATGACTACGCTACAAAAAATTTCACCCATGCACACGATTCACACATGTTTATCCAGCGATAGAGAGAGTACGTATTTTATTATAAATAAAAGCATTTTTCGAAATCACATCGGGTTAGTCTCTAAACAACCGTAAAATCAAACAAATTTTCTTAGATTTTTTTTTCAATTCTCTCCCTGCATCTCTTTCGCTCTCCTTTTGTCTCGTTCTTTCTCTCTTCTGTTGATTTAATCCTTTAACTGTGTGTGTCTGTGTGCATGTTAACGTCAAACGACAGTTCAATTTTTTCCACGGCATTTTCGCTCTCCGTGTACGTGTTTGTATGTTGATGAAAATATTCGCTTGTGTCGCTTGAAAGCGCAGTGAAAGGGTTCATTTTATTTCCTTTTTGCTGATCGTTCGTTTGCTTACTCGCTTGCTTGCAGAGGTTACAGTTTTTGTAACAACATTATTGGCACTTGTATCATGCTCATGTGTTTGATAAAAACATGGGCCAATATAAACATTGGCAACACAAACGTTTACGGCCTCGGCAGCAGCGTTCACATGAAGCGATTTTCAAATGAACCGATACAATACATCAAACGATGAAAATGTTTTTATTGACAACAATGATGGTAATCACGATGAGAGAGCGCGATCTGCCAATATTTATTGCAACATTCTCCGTCGATAGAAAATATGCTTTCGATCCACAAACACAGAAAAAAAGACACAAGGAAAAAAACGATGTTGTTTCTTTTTTCAAAGACAGTCGACAAGTTTACTTGAGTGTTTCCACGGATGATAGGCTTTGAGGTGAGATTTTATATCATCGCCCGATTCACTGGACATCATTGTAAGAAGCATATTCAGAATCTTCACTGTATGGGTGAATATTATTTTTCAGAAGAAAAACGGCCGGAATTCACTTTGAAATTGTTAAAAGAATTGTTTTGCCAAAAAGATAAATTGATTTACCGGTTCTAGTTTATGAGCGCAATACTAATAACTCATAACCATGAACAAACACAGAAAAAATGATATGGAATTGAAATGAAAAAAAAAACAACCGATGCAATAATGCTTTCGGGCCATCGTTTGAACAGTACTAAATTAGTTTCTTTTAATTTAGTATCTGTTGCAGCAACAGCAGCAGCAGCAGCACAGTACACCAATTTTATCCACTTCACTGACATCTAAGGGATTCCGGAATGAAACCACTGCTCCATGCGATTTAACACACATACGTTTATCGTCAATTGAGAACATATGAAAGCACATAGAGAGTGACGCTAGCATACACTATCGCTCTTTATCTCTATCTAATTGTTTGTTGGAAACATTTGCGTGCTCATTCAATCAATCCACATTCAGACCAAGGAAGACCATACGTTTTAAGAGTCATTATTTTAGCTCTTTCAAATGAAAATTTCAACAAAACTGAATGATAATTTTACATATAAACGCAGACAATGTTTGTTTTCTCTCTCCTCTAAAACTTGCGTTGACCTGGAAATTTACGTTAATTGATTCATAAATTAGACTCACCCAGAACGATGTACTTGTATCATCGACAAAAGCATTTTCAAATCGATCGAATTGCTGGTACGTTGGAGGTTTTATATAGCGCTTGTTTTCATGTATACCATCATGGCTAATTGACTGTAGTGTTCTGTTAATATTCTGCAATGAATTCAACTTAACATTGAACAATTTTGAAGAATTCACAAAATTGTAGTCGGTATACGGCATAATACGGTTGCTAGTGAAATTCATTTCGTATCGGTCCACTATCTATTTATTCCAAGTTTATCATGAAGTCGTATATTTTTCACGCGAAATGTATTTAAAACCACACCGTAAAGTCTTGCACTCTTTTCTGGCTAAACCTCTAATCCATACCTCTAGTATATTCAGCGAGAGCTTGGCGGTGTTAAAAAAAAATAAAAAAAATAATGAAAATCAGAAGTAATTGAAATGAAAGTATTCTTTCGTCCAAATCAACAAACTTATTGTGTGAAAAATTCAGTTTTTCTTCTTCCTTTGAGTAATATGTTCAAACGATGTTCCACTGAAAACACTTTGAATATGATAAAAACAAATTTATTTCACGTTTCAGGTCCAACACATATTCATCAAGTTCCAATGCTCAGAATAATTTCTGAACATGACACCTCTCAAAGCATTTCGGTAGCAGTATTATTATATTGTCAATTGATTCTGTTGCTAATGCCGGTATTTGTTGGACAAAAGCCATTTAAACCAAGCCATTTTAAGAATTGACATTCGTCAATAATATTTTGTCACAATTCCATGGAACAAGTGTTTTATTGAATTGACAAAACTTTCTAAATTATTCGGCGACATGATTAGTATGGCACTTCCATTGTGATAAAAAAAACACATTTTGTTCATTCTAATTTTTTGTAAGATGAAATTTTCATTGTATTTTTTTCATTAATTTTTTTTATTCACAAATAAACTATTTACAGTGGCAAATTTAGAAGAAAAAAAAACCGCAATAATTGGCACAATCACGTGAGCTTGGCTCGATACCACTAATATTGAACTCGAATGTGCGACTGCCGTCAAAGTTCCATTGACTGAGTGTTTTAAATGGTCTGCAGTTAGTATTGTTCTATAATTCCCATTTTGCATGTCTTTCATTATCACTTATTGCAGTTCCGAAATGTTGAGATGTGCCTTTTAATTATTAGCGTACATTCCACAAATAAAAGCGCCGATATTTTTGGAAAGATAAACAGTCTAAAACAATTCGGTAATATTGTATTCAGTCTGACAATGTCATTTTTTGTTTCGAAAAAACCCCTTCAGAACAACCTGATAATATCCAGATGCTAATTAACTAAATTTGACTACAAGTCGATGAAAGGTTGATTTTAACAGTTGAATACCAAAATTTCTATGTCAAATGCTGCGGCATATCGTCAGGCAATAATCATTACCAATCAAATATAATTGATGATGATTGGGAAATGCCATTGTGGGATAGTTGCTAAATTATCACTTTCAAACGCAGACAGCATGGAGCTGCCAAGATCCGACAGCAAGGGACTTTGTACGTCACAGAAATGTGTATGTGCTTTACATGTTTATTCATGTTTAAATGATTGAAACTTGAAATTTTGCCTACTTTCAGGTGTTATTCTTGTGTTTTTCAATGCAACTAAGATAGAAACTTTGTGATTACATGTTAGTTCATGAATATTTTCACTAGTTTCGCTCTTGTCACATTCTGTACATTCAGTGTCCATATGAATCAATTGTATTTTTGGTTTTTGCTGTTGGATCGTGGGAGCTGCCAGTTTATTGGCACTGTCAGAATGAAGAAAACAAAGAAATGTTTGATCAATATTAAGACGTCATAGCTTTCGCAAATTCATTCATTCGCTTGAAAAACGAAACCATTAAATCAAAAGGAACTATTGTTATCATTCTGTAGCAGAATGCAATACGTAAAAAAAATTCCGATTTTACCATTGAAGTTGCATCGTCGAATTAATCGATTGGTAAAAATTGATGATATTCTCGTTGACGATAGCTCATCATCGGAATGGGAGGATGTATCATCAGACGAAAATGTTTGCGTTTTTTTTTGCATATTTGAAAACTGAATATTAAATTAGTCGTTCTTTTACAGGAGTCGGAATCGCAAGACTATAAAATTTGTGTTGAATCCCGGCTAGAACCGAAGCCGTTGTATGAAACCAAAACCAATTGGATTTATGAGTATTGCGGAAAGATCCGAAAAGATCGCGTTATATGGGACACAAAATTGTATGCGGCATCGCGCAAATTCAAAAATAAATCGATGTATGAACAAGTCGAAGAATTGATGGATATTGTGAGTTACGCCGTTGAAAATCGTTTTTTATACATACTTTCATATATTTTTTTTAATTGATTTCTTTCCACATTTTTTTACACACTTTTTAAAATATTCTTTTCTCAATTATAGTCTGCAGAAGATTTTGCCGAATGCATCAATAAATTGACCGATGACGAAAGTCAAAAAATTAGCAAGGAAATGATAAAGAAACTATTCTCAATTGAAATCGAAAAGGACCTTTCACACTCGCTGTTCGTGCAAAAAATTCATAAGCCAGTGGTTTCGCAAGAAATCGCTCAATTGTTTGAGTGTCCAGAGGTAACATTTTAGACAGGAGACTTTTTTTTTCAAAATAAAACTTCATTTCTCTTTAATTGAAATATACCAAAATGGAACTAATGGATGGGATCATTCATCTATGTGTGTGTTCTTGCAGTTGGCCATCGAGAGAAACATGCGTCAATTAATGGAAGAAGATGAAGAGAATGCAAAGAAAATATCACCAAAGTATCATGCATTTGGCAGAAGTTTGTCACCAAAATCACGGCAAGTGCAAATAGAGAAGTTTAAAGAGCCAGAGCCATTTACTTTTCCAGACGATATTCGATCGGGTGAAAATCTGTTCAAAGGAATTGACCATTTGAAGTGAGTGCTTTTCTTGTGAAACAGACATTTCATTTCTAAAAATATAGCTATTTATATCTTTACATATTGCGTTCCATGATTTTTTTCCATTTCATACACATCCCCTGCAAATAGGGCAACGAAAGCGTTAATGAACCATTTAGACGAACACAATTTACCAAAACCCACTTATTTGCTCAAAATGAATGCCCTGAATCCGAAATCAAAGAATCAATCCACTCACATTCCATTGTATTCGCTTTATCAACAAAACAAATTTTGAGTCATAGTAACCAGTGTGCATAGAAACGTTTGAAGTGAAAAACAAATACAGTACTGATTGAACATTCGCAATGTATGAAAAGCCAAAGTTACCTCTTCTTCCCGGATTTGTCGTTCATGTAATTAAAATGAAAGTAAAAATAAATTTTTCCAAAATATAATGTGTTTTCATTTCAGAAACCGAAAGACAACTATCACTTGAAGCAATGTTGGATGCAAATGGACGGAACGGGTATGCTCGTTGAGAAAAAACATGCTGACAACAATTGGATTCTCAATGATGGAAAGGTACGTGAAATGACATTTTTATTTCAATAATTTTGGAATTTTATTCTTTTTTCAAAAATTTCTTTGATTTTCTGCGCTAGATTCTGTGTTTCAAAGCATATTTTCGCCAGGATTTGAGTGGAAGTAGTGGCAGTGCACCACATCAAATTCGTAGAGTGAAAATTTTATACTACCTGGAAGATGGGACAATTCAAGTAAGGAGATTGTGTCATAACACTCATTTTGTTCAATAAAATTTAATTTTGACCGTTGAAATTCCATAGGTCGTTGAACCGCGAACTGACAACTCGGGAATACCACAAGGATGCATTGTGAAGCGACAAAAAGTCCCTTGCCCGTATCCCAACCAAAATGAATGCTTGTCGATGCTTGATCTGAATGTTCAAAAGCAAGTTCGGATATTCGATCGGATTTATATCATCACTAATTGTGATGGATTTACTCGATCGTACCTCAGTAGAGCCGGCATAGAGGTATGGAAATGCTTGAAAAATCCATTTTTTTTTTAACTTATACCTTTGGTTTTCCTTCTCATTGACCTTTTTTTTGTCTCCGCCTCCTTATTTTGGCTGCTGTTGCAGGTACCTAGTCCGATTGGAATACCAAAGTAAGCTTCATTATGGACAACAGCTTCATCCATTTTAGTGCATGAGTGTTCTAATCAATTCCATTAGTATTTATTTCAATCGTTTCAATCAATCTATATTTCAACAGAGATCCAATACACTTAACCCGTGACGAAATGCAAGAAGTGCGACAATCGGAGCAGCCAACTAAAGTGGAAAAAATTGAAAATAAATTGGAAAAATTTCTAAAGTTTGACAATTGTTGCTTGAAATTCGATGCCTACTGGGATGACCGAAATTCACCATCGGGTGATATTCATGATTTAATTGTTTTATATTTTCTTTCGGACGATACAATTCAAATCAATGAAGTACCCCGGCGCGCAAAACCAACTGTACTATACAAACGCCTCAAACTGCCCAAAGTAGGCCAATTGTATTCGATTGTTATTGTTCTGAATAGTTTGATTTGATTTTGAATCTATTGCCTTAATCAGAAAACCGACGACGTTTTAATGCTTGACCAAAAATCCAATGCGACCGTATTAAATGTGTTGGGCTCTGATTTCATGCGTGCCAGATGCATTGCCGATAAACTTGCCATCGGAAAACCAAACGTCGACTGTTATACGGTAAAAGTGTATGGCATTGTAATATGATAATTTATGATAATTCAACGATTATCAATTTTAATGGCAGGATGTCGATTTGAGAATCGGCCAAGTGATTAACGTATTTGGACGGGCCGTTGTTTTAACGGATTGCGATAAATTCACGCGTGAATATTATCAAAAGAAGTATGGAATTGAGGAATTTATACCGATTCAAAAGCCAAGAGACACTCGATGGGACCAGCCATGTGTGCAAAAGATTATGCCACCGTACAATGGATGGGGTTCGTTTGAAGATTCAGAGGCGAGCTGTTGTTCAATTCAATTGAAGGCGCCGCAGCGTGATATGAAGAAATTTTTGGAATTGGACAAGTACAATCTGCGATTCAAAGCCCAAATGATCTCAAAAGTCGCTGAGGATAGTGATCGAGAGTTTGTAATAACATACTACTTGAGTGATGATACAATTTCGGTTTTTGAGATTGGAAAACGCAATTCATGTTCTTCGGTATGCTTTTTTTTCTTATCAATTTCGAAATGAATTCTAAAATTCGGAAAATTCAAGATTTTTCCTCATAATCTCAACAGGGAGATTTTCTTAAACGATCCAAGTGCTACTTACCAAATCAGCCTTTATACACAAGTCAACGGCCCGAACAATTCACTCCCCAGATGTTTTTCATTGGTGCCACCGTCAATTTTCAGGGATTTGAATACCATTTAACCGATGCCGATGAATTTACGTTGAATTTCATGGAGTCCCATCAATCGGAGTATCCAATGGCCAATATCAGTTCAATCATGAGCAAAATTAAAGAGGCAATCAAACCAATTTACAAAGATTTTATTGGGAAATATCTGGATGTCGCTTCATTGATTGAAAGCATGACGAAGCCCGACCGATTAACAATTTGTTATGACACAACAGGTACAAAAGGCCCTCTTCGATCTTAATCGAAAATATCTTTATTATTTCTTCCCTAACTTTATGACTTCCATCATTGTTCAACTTATTGATGCATTCGGCGAAATCTTCAGCAATTGCTTTGAGAGAGTTGTTAGCCAATCGCATAACTGAACATGAAATTATCACATTTCTACGGTACTTCAGCGCGGATAAAGCTCAATCGACCACGCCACAACCATTAAATCGAACAACCGTACAGGCTTTGGTTCAAATGTCTTTGACAAATGGGCTGTGGGACGATTTACAATCACTCAAAGAATTCATTTATGATTTTGATCCAGAGAATCATAATGGATTCATGCCACCAGCCAAGATACGTACAATAATCAAAGGGTGTCGATTGCCAATCAAAGAAGTTTTGATTAATGACATGTTTTCGGTGTAAGTTTGAAATTTTAAGTAAAAAATAAACTCCGACATTTTTCTTATCCTACATAAAAATATGGATTAATTTTCAGATTGAACAAAGACTCGAATGGCTGCATTGATGTAAATGACTTTTTGTACTTCATCGATTACAAAAAGTGTAAGGCACCACCGATTCAGCCAATAAATATATATGTAAGCTGAACAAAATTACCCAATTTGAAAATATTCTTATAAATTTTCCCTTTTGCTTCATTTTTATGCAGTGTGACAACGATAAGAAGGCGTTCAATTCAAGCTATCGACCCAATCTAGTCGATTGGACGGAATTTATCGCTGAGCTGGGCCTAGAAACAGACTTAAAACAACAAACTGAATAACAAAATTGAGTTTTAACAAAAATTTTATTCGGTAAAATATACAAAAATTCGTAAAAATTTTATGTATCACCATAACACGCTAATAAGTTGGATTTCAACACACGAACAATTATTCAAAAAATATATAGATTGAGTGGTCAAATTAATCACGATTTCTCAACAATCTATAAAGTCAGCATTGTTTTAATCAATTCTTTTCAAATTGATTAGTCAAAATCATTTTATTTTATCAATCGATTACAAAAAATTATGTGAAGAAAAATTAGTAGAAAAAAAAACAAAATGCACTTCAAAAATGGTTAGTTTGTTTTTTGTTTGTTAGTATCACACAGTGAATATGATAATTAAATGTGTCAGTATTGCACATCGGCGTTATGATGGCTCGCTTCAAAACGATTGAAAAGCAATAAAAATTATTTGCATATGAGTATACGTAAAAAATTGGCATGGAATTGCTTGAAAAATCAAATCAACACAAATCAATTTTTGTTGCTTCTAATTTAGGCCTTTGGTTTTTGTTGTTGTTGTTTTCCTTTTTGTTGGCCTTTTTTGCCACCTTGTTGCTGTTGTTGTTGTTGCTGCTGTTGTGGCTTAGGTGCCTGTTGTTGTGGTTGTTGGGGCTTTGGTGCCGATTGCTCTTGTGGCCTTGCAGCATCCTTTGCTGCTGCGGGAGCTGGTGCTGGTGTGGCGACTGGAGCAGCGACTGGAGCAGCGACTGGAACGACTGCTGGAGCGGCTGCTGGTGCTGATGCTGGAGCGGTTGCCGTTTGTTTTGGTGGCTGTGGTTGAGCCGGTTGCTTTGGAGCATCTTGTTTTTGTGGTTGGCCACCTTTTTGTTCTTGCTTTGGCTTGTCTTCGCTCTTGGCTACAGCAGGTGCTGCTGGAGCTGGTTCAGCCTTCTTTTCATCAGTCTTAGCCGGTGCAGCATTGGCTTGTTTCTTTGCTGTGTCTTTTTTAGCATTGTCCTTCTTTTGATTATTGTTTGCTGCTGGTTTTTCATTCTTTGCTTCTGGTTTCTTGGCTTCGGCTGGCTTTTTGTCACCTGCTTTTGAGCTTTCCTTTGGCTTGGCTGGCTCGGCAGCCTTAGTTTGTTCTTTTGGTGCTTCTGGTTTTTTAGCCTCAGCTGGTTTCTTCTCTTCAGCAGCCGGTGCCGGAGCTGTAGCTGGAGTTGAAGCAGCTTGTTCAGGCTTCTTATTTTCCTTATTTTCTTCAGCTGCTTTTGCTGCGGCTGGTTGTTCAACTTTAGCACTAGCGGCTTCAGCCTTCTTAGCCTCAACATCCTTTTGTGAGACTTCTTCGAAATTTTCAACCAAATTTGGCACATCATCTTCCTCAGCGACGCTTGACAACAGCTTGTTGCTACCAGCCACCACGTTATTGGCCAAACGTTTCAATTGATTGAGACCTTCTGGACCCAATTGCGACAAGATACCCGGCAACATCTCGGCAACCTAGAAACACGATTACACCAATCATATGATTGTTTGGCATTTCTTCTTTAATCAATTTAAGAATAATTTTTATTGTACCTGTTTCTGTTCACATTGACCGGTAATGGCAAATGTATTAGCGGCCAATGATGCTTGAGCCTTTGGGTTGTTGAAATGCAACACAGTTCCATCTTCCTTGATCATGTTCACTTCTTCGATGCCTGAATAAACGATACCATAAATAGCATTGGGATTAATTTACGTACGACTGACATACCGGAGATTTGTCATTTAATATGTACCTGGAATTGTATTCACCGACAACTTTTTCAACGTCGATTGCAATTTTTTATCGTCAGTTGCAGCGGTTTGGTGCACAATCTTCTTCTTACGACGTGGTGTACCTTTGCCACCAATACGCACTTGCGATTGCAATTTTTTCAATTTATCGGTATTCATTTTTCCTGTATATCTTTAAGTTTTCGGAAGAAAATTTAAAATTCAAACCAATTATCCACCAAAAAAATCACGCATCAAGTTATTTTTTATCCAAACAACAACTACTCACTTTCCAACAATCCAAATCAAAACGAAAAAAAAACTATAAAATTCAATTTTTTTTCGGCTAAGCGCTGCTTACACGTGTTCCTTACACATGAAAGAATTTCCCGCAAAAGACGGAAAATTAAAAATGGCTCTGCGGAGAGGAAAAATCTGTCATGGCATGCGTATATTTAGATGTGTAAGTGTATGCGTGAGTGTTTGCCGGACTGAACGAAAGAAAAACACATTCTCGTCGAATTTTCACAAAGTGGCTGCGTTTAATGAACTCTCATGAAATCATTTGAAAAACTCCGATCAGTTACACCTATTTATTACGACGTTTATAAATAGAAATTCCATTCATTCGTTATTTTTATTTAAAAAAAAAAACTTAATCTTATTCTAATGCTATTTAAAAATCCAATTGGCTCATTTCAACGTCATCCGCATCATCATTCCATGTAGCCAGATCGGCTTTGGATTGTTCTTTTCGTTCGACTTCCTGCGTAACATTCCATAGTTCATCGTCGTATTCATCCATAAATTCCTGTTTGATACGCTTCGTAGCGTCTCGATTATTGGTGGCTTTTTGCGCTTTTCGTTGTGTTGGTTTCGGTGTTCCATCGCCTGCCGTTCGTTCTTCGATCAATGCTTGGCTCTTATCAAAGTACTGATTCGGATGTGTAATACTTTCGTCTTGCGCTGTTTCATGCATCACGGCAAAATATCGACCGCATGCCAACTGATAGTGACCCTTTGTTGCGAATGTAACGACTTCTTGGGCATGCACCGAATTGAATCCATACATCGTTAATTTGGCCCGCAAACTATTCGCATCCATCGTTTTAAACGGGCAACCATGGCTTTCTTGTGGACCAACGTGCTGCGCAATCACCTTCAAACATGAATGTGGTGCCCAGTTTTTCGCTTGACCTTCTTTACCATAGTTGTATCGAATGTTGTACGCATAGGATTTCTCGAACTTTTCCAAATCCATCATTTTTGTGAATTCGGCGCGCCAAAATCTGGAATTGCGTATTCGATCATTGTTTGTGAATTGAAATATTTGAATGAAAAATGCGAAACACCATTGTAGCTTAGAACAAACCTCAAGGAGTCCTCCAATGTGACACCGATTCCCTTCAAAAATAGTCCATATTGCAAACGGCCTTGATGTTTAAGATGGTGTTTACTACGCAAAGCTTCGTGACATTGACGCATACACAACGGGAATGATTTCTTTGACAGCTGATCGATGCTTTCGATTGGTATCGATCCCTTTGCACCGACAACATAATCTTTGCCCGTGTACGATGTGTGCAATGTTTTCAACAATTCCACCAAACGTTCATCGTTGTCCAAATCGGGCAGTGCTTGAGCTGCAGCAGCCAAACCACTCTCAATGCATGCTTCATGTAAACCGGCCACAATCGAAATCAAATCACTCGCTATGACATAGGCGTATCCACCTTTGACATAGCATCGACGTCCACGTATCAAATCGGGCACAGCCGTAAAATGCACCTTATAAAATTCGTCGCATTCAACTTGTTGCACACCATACATCGCAGTACTATCGTATAGACCCTCTTTGACGTCTGACTTTTCATCGTCGTCGATCGGTTGATAGTTTAATTTATTGATTTCCAGAAAAGTCTTTACTCCCGGTGCCTTCAAGTAGCTGAACTTCAACTTGAACCATTCCATTTCACGTGTGATGAACCATCTGCCGTTGAACAATACGAATATATTAGTTGGGGAAAATTAACGGAAATTGACTCAATCACAATTCAGTGTTTACCTTTTTAAATCGTTGGATCGACAGTAGGCAAGACGCAATATGAAATGTGAAATGTAATCTCTTCGTCGCGCTTGTACATCAGCTTCGCCAGATTGCGAGTGGCCATCGATTAATCGTAAATAGGTCTTCATACCGGCCTGCTTCATTTCCTCTTTGATTTCATTTTTCCAGTCTTCTGACAGCACACGCAAATTCTTCGATGTGGCTTGCTCAAAAATACGCAACAAATTCACCCGTTCGATGGCATACTCTTCGAATGTTTGCAGTGTCATATCTTGTGTTGGCGGTAAATGGTACATCATTACATTGTGTGGATAAAGTGAAACCAAGTCTTCAGACTCGATATGAGCAGCGGTCTTCCCACGGTCTCTGTTCTTTCGTGTTGTAAAATCCATTTTTCTTATAAAATTATTCGTTTAGTTAAAATATATTTTATTACAATTAATTTAAACACCGTTGTCACTGTATTAACAAAATTTGCCTGCTGTTTGTAACTTAACAATAGAGACTGTGTACAGAGAAATGTCAATGTTTGGCGCCCAATTTATATTTTCGTTCAGCAGAAATGCGCAGAGTGCGTTCAATGCAACGAACAAAAATATTTGAGTGTAAACGCAACCTCTCTCTCTCACTCTGTTTCTATGTGACAGTTCAGCATGACATCTGCTTGCCTTTTGCGAAGAGAGAATTTGAATTTCGAATTGATTTATTTGTTCCAAATTATTTGTATATAAAATGAAAATATGAGAGTGCCATCAATTTTTTACTCGACCCCGGTGCGAAAGTATCAAAGGAAATCCGTTTATAAAATATATCGAAAGACAGAAAATGGTTGGAAAGTCTTGGATAATGTTGATAAAAATGAAATACCTAAACCGGCTACCATCGCTCATCACCAAACACAACCTCAGGAAAATAACACACAAACCGATGGTTCATCCGAAAATCGACCAAATTGCAGGGAAAATGAGATGAAAATACAAATGCTGTCAAAACCTCTATATGATCAAATATTCAAAAATAACCACAAACCCACACCCGATCAACAAACAATACAAAAGTGAATTTCATTTTTTCGAAACTATTTTCATCACCATAATTGTTCATTGTTCCGATTTAATTCCATTTTTCAGATACCAAAGCACATTGAAATCGTATGGCATCAAACTTGGAGAGAGTCCACTCTTGCCTGATGTTGACATCAAATTGCCACCGCTCAAGGGAACCACTTTGATCGAGCATTTCCATGAAATTGCCCACGAGCAATTGTTGCCTTACAAACAACTTATTGAATCACTTGCACACACGGAAATTCTACCGATTCCAAAAACATGGAAAATGATTGAAGGCTGGACGCGATACGATCATGATGGGAATACCGTATCGGTTCCGTATCCGGATGACAAAGCCCTTATATTCGATATTGAAGTGTGTATGAGAGAAGGGAATGCGCCAACGATGGCTTGTGCCGTAGGTCCAACGTATTGGTATTCATGGACTAGTCGAAGTTTGATTGCTACGAGACGCAGCACACGTCGCACCCGTGATGAAAATGTTCCCAGAGTCTATCGAGCCGATGAGATGATAACAATGGAACCGGATGGTTGCACTGAACCGAGAATAATCATCGGTCACAATGTGTCATATGATCGGGCACGTATACGCAATCAATACGATTTGAATGCGACAAAAACACGATTCCTAGACACAATGTCGATGCATGTGTGTGTCAGCGGTGTTACTTCATTTCAACGCGCTATGTTGAAATCATCGAAAGAGATCGAAGCCGATGATGAATCGTGGAGCTCAATGAGTTCATTAAATGGATTGGTTGACGTGTACAAACTGTACTGTACTGAAAGTGGTGATGATAAAACGATAAGCAAAGAGCAACGATCGTTGTTTGTTGAAGGCTCGTTGGGTGAGATTCAACGGAATTTCCAGAGTTTGATGACTTATTGTGCTAACGATGTGATAGCAACTTACAAAGTTTTTAAGGCATTGTATCCAATGTTTTGTGAACGTTTTCCACACCCTGCTACATTGACTGGAATGCTAGAACTGGGTTTAGCCTACTTGCCAGTCAACTCAAATTGGTTGCGGTATATAAACGAATCCGATTTGATCTACAAGGATTTCGATATTGAATCCAAATATTTGCTAGCCAAACGAGCGAATCAAGCATGTCGTCTTCTACACAATGATTCATACAAAAAAGATTTGTGGCTATGGGATGAAGACTGGTCAGTACAAGAGCTATCGTTGAAAAAAACCAAAACTCCAAAACGAAAATTATCTGCAAACAAATCAAATGAAGTGCTCACACCGAAAAATGAATTTGAACGATTGGAAAAAAAATTTAAACCCTTGTTAGATATTGCTGTAGATCTTCCCAAGCGTCCACCCATGCTTGCCGGCTATCCTGCATGGTATCGCAAACTGTGTCTTAAGCGAAGCGATCCAAAATGGTCACCAGGACCAAATGATATCGGCACTGGCATGCAAATCGCTTCAAAATTGCTTTCATTATGTTGGGAAGGCTATCCGTTACACTTCATCCGTGAGCATGGTTGGGGATTTCTAGTGCCATTCGATGACAAAATCCCTGATGATTATAATGGCTCCATTCCCTTGCAGCAACTGATTAAGAAATGTCCAGTCAAAAATCTATCGTCGAAATCGGCGTCGCAAAGTGAAAGTGAACACGCTTTCGGAAAGCTGTCAAAAGAAGTTGAAATGGAATTGGGAAAACGCGACTATTATTCGAAAGCAACGCGAAATCCGAGTGAGGGCCGTTACAATGGCACTGGTGTGTGGTGCAATACTGAGTTGGAGGGTTCTTGTTGGTTTTTCAAATTGCCACATAAAAATGGGACGCAGTATCGCGTTGGGAATCCACTGGCACGTGATTTCCTCATCAAGTTCTCAGAAAATGTTCTGGCTGGCGATAACATTACAGCAGAGCGTGTGATTCAAATCGCTCGAATGTTGTCTTATTGGCGAAATAATCGCGATCGAATCACAAATCAAACCGTTGTGATACCACCGAATGAAAATGAAACTGATACGGCTGCGAATGAAGCGACGAGAACGATTGATACGATGGCAGCGATAATACCACAGGTTGTTGTAAGTGGAACATTGACACGAAGAGCCAGTGAACCGACTTGGATGACCGCAAGCAATGCACAATCCGAGAGAATCGGTTCGGAATTGCGAAGCATGGTTCAAGCACCCGATAACTATCGTATTGTTGGTGCCGACGTCGATTCACAAGAACTTTGGATTGCCTCAGTATTGGGAGATGCCAGTGAAACGAGTATGCATGGCGCAACACCATTCGGCTGGATGACGCTAAACGGAACGAAATCAAATGGCACTGATATGCATAGTGTAACCGCCAAAGCAGTCGGCATTTCCAGAGATCATGCAAAAGTATTGAACTATGCTCGAATCTATGGCGCAGGCCAACAATTCGCCACCAGATTGCTCAAGCAATTCAATCCAACCTTTTCCGATGGCGAAGCCAAATCAAAAGCCATGAAAATGTTTGCAATGACAAAAGGTAAAAAACTGTATTATCCAATGGAAGAATATCTTGATCAGCTGGAAAATAAACGCTTCACAAATTATGAGGCAAAAATGATTGCATTGAAATACGGCAAACCCATTGATGGTGTATTCAAAAAGAGTAAATGGTACGGTGGAACGGAAAGTGCAATGTTCAATCGATTGGAAGAAATTGCGGGCAGCGACAAACCAGTCACACCGTTTCTACAGTCTCGACTCAGTCGAGCATTGGAACCACATCCAGGGAGTGAAGATCGATTTTTGCCCACGAGAATCAATTGGGTAGTTCAAAGTGGTGCCGTTGATTTTCTTCATTTAATGCTGGTCTGCATGCGATGGCTGATGCAGGATAATATTCGATTTTGCCAGAGTTTCCACGATGAAATTCGGTACATTGTTAAAGAAGAACATGCCTACAAAGCCGCTTTGGCCATGCACTTGACGAATCTACTAACACGTTCGTTCTGTGTCAGCAGGTAAGCACGTTGAATATTGAGGCATTTTAAATCAAACATTTATTTGCCATTTTGTAACTTTTTGATCATAATTTTATTTGTTTCAACTCAGAATCGGATTGGATGATTTGCCACAATCGATAGCATTTTTCACATCAGTTGAAGTGGACCGAGCATTGCGTAAAGAAGCACATTCAGATTGCAAAACACCATCGAATCCATACGGTTTGAGCGTCGGCTATGGAATACCACTAGGAGAATCATTGGATGTTGCCGCCGCAATTGAAAAGGCAAATGGCTGTGATTTAAACGAATGGCCGTGGCACCAAAAACACTAGCGACTAAAGAACCATACAATTTTACCAATTCGGTTTTGTTTACATTTGTATCAACTGTCGTTCAGTTAATTGTCATATTGTTGCGAAGTTGAATTCAATTCAATCCGATTGAATGAATCCACTTTGTTTTAAGTTTCGAAAAGTTTTTTTTCTTGAGAGAAATGAAGAAGCATATTTTTGTAAATACGAAATAAAAAAAAACTATTGATATTTTCGTTGTACGAAAAGTTAAAAAAAAATGCAAATAAAAATGTAAATCAATAAAATTTTAGCTCAGCGTTTAGTTGATCTATGTGAAGTTGGTGTTGAATGATTTGAAAAAAGATGGTCGTTGTTTGACTTTTTCTTTTCGCTTTTATTCCGTTTCACGTAGGAAGTCAGTCGATAGTTGTGTTCAAAAATGGCTACATCACTAAATCATTCAGTCAATATGTCGGAAGTGATTTTGGATTTGGACAAAGTCACCAATATTGGTCATCCTTGTTGGGAATTGTTGCAACCAAATCCAGATATTCACGAAATGTTCGATGAATATAATAATTTGTTCTTCGGTGGTATTTTGAATTTTCGCGTTGTTCTCGATTGGCACTCATTGCCGGGCAACGCTGCCACAAATGCTGGTGCAACCAAACCACCGGAAAATGTTCGAAACGGTAGAATGTCGATCAGCCTAAATAAGAATTTACTCGTTGTGCGATCGCGTCGAGAAACTATCGAAATACTGCTTGTAAGTGTAATTATCGCATTTCTCCTCATCCGTTTTTCAATTATTTTAATGAATCGATGTTTTACAGCATGAGATGATTCATGCATATTTGATACACATAAAGAAAGAAGACAGGCCCCCAAATCACCATGGCCCCAATTTCCAAGCAAAAATGAATGCCATCCGAGCACAAACGGGATTAAATATAACGGTAACTTGATTGACTTTCATTATATTTATTTGTTTGGGTGCATTTTGTTTTTGTAACTGATTTTCATACACACGGTGCAGATCAATCACGACTTTACCGAGACGACTGTGGATAAGTATTACAAGTGGCGATGTCTTGGGAATTGCCGAAACATGGCGCCATACTTTGGTTTTATTTGGGTGAAAGGAAAGACACGAGAACCATCACAGAGAGATCTGATGTGGATTAACCGCGAACAATGTGATCATCAATTTGAACGGTATGGCGACAACCCGAAAGAATACTTGACACATTGGGATTGCATCATCATATTCAACAAATTTGTGTCGGAAAACAAAATTCGCATAAAAACGAAGAAAGTGCGTTTGGAAGACAATAATGATAATGTCTACATGGACGACACGTTTGTAATGGACATCAACACAGCCGGTGAAGATCCAATCGCAAATAAATACTACGTGAACTTTGACCGTGAAACAAAGCAATTCATTAATGTTGATAATTACTTGAAAGTCGATACAGATAATAGTTTGCATGATGACAGTCGCACGGTGTGCATGATTTGTTTGTGTAAAATTGCCGATGAAGCTGTCATCCAGCACTTGGAACAATGCACCGGTATTGAATTCTCATTCGATTCGAACGAATCGTTGCCAATTTTTAAAATTGATTGATTTTTTTTAGCTTTTAACGTCCAGTTGGCAAGCGAATTAACCATCGCGCAGATACAAACCTTTCATTTAAATTCATTCTATTGTAGATTTAAACCGTCGCTTGAGCAATCATTCCAGTGCTTAGTCAGGTCATGCATTCAATTGCTTCTATGAAAAAATGCCATGTTATTTTTAGTTCTATTTTATACTAGATGCAGCTACAAATGCGTTGAATTGGCCGCTTCCTACAGCGAATTGTATTTATTACTCCTTTTATTTCATTATTGTTATCATATTTGTCTATCATTTACTAGAATCAGTTTTTTTCATTCCATTTTAATCTTTAGTTGTACAAATTGATATTGTTTAGTGAACAAAGTTCACATAAATAAGAGAATTGTTAATCAGCTCAATCGAAATATACATGATTTTTTTGAAAAAAATGAAACACATTTGCCAAATTGCCCAACAGTAAAGGGTCTATGATACTGAAACAAAATGTTTATTCTTGATGATTCCACTCGAAATCTGCAACCAATGAAATGTGATCAGATGGAAATACAATCGACGGTATTGCTGTCAATGACCTTAACTCTTCATCGCTTGGTAATGGAACGGCCTGATGGAAAAATGGATGAAATTTTTTTTCATTGAACATCAAAGAAATGACCAAAAGGAAATCGATCAAGGCTGATCTTTTCAAGCCCCATTCAACCCACCTGTAATACACGCAAGTTGTTTGTTTCATAGAAAATGTAATCCAAACATGCAGCAAAGCCAACGGTGAAGTTGGTGTATTTCGGATTGTTGTAGGCCGATTTGATATCAAACGGTTGCTGTAGTGTAATTCCAACAATGGCTTCCTCAGCATCTGTCAAATAGAAAATAGTTGCATGATAACTGGGAAGCATCACTAGAACTATGAGCGTGGCACTTACTACTTTGAAAGTCGATAAAATCATTGGGAACGAGTTTCTCCGTCATCAGCTTATAAATTCCACATTCGGGCACACTGTTAAAATCCCCACAAAATATGATGGAGATTTGTTGTTTGCTCAAGTTCAATTCAGCGATGGTGCTCTCATAGATGTGCTTCACGTACAACATAAAGAAACCGATTTGCAGTAAGCGGATGTGATCGGCATCGGGATGAAAATAAAGATGAGTATTGGCCACAATTAAATACCGTCCATTTTCTTTTGATTGTAACACCGTGACTTGAAGTGCCGTTGATAGCGATAGCATTCGTTCGCATAGTTTTTCATTGTCTTTGATTTTTTCGTATAATTCTTGGAAGTATGGCTGTTTCGTCATGTTTTCACTCAAATTGAATCCATAGCTATGGACGAGGGAAAATTTATCACGATGATAGAATGTGGCCACACCCTCAGCTGTGCCACCCTTCTTCTGTAATAATCCATCCATTCCATCGTTGCCCAAACACAGTTTTAAATCCAAGTCAAACACCTTCGAGTCGACTTCTTGCAAGCAACAGATATCCGCATGATAGCCAATAATTTCGCGAATGAACAACTGCTTTCGATAGTCAATGGCCAGAGCAAACGGTGGACAGTATGGAAAGAGTTCTTTGCGCGAAAAATCACTGTCCGCATAGTAATCGGCTAATAAATTGTATGAGACAACCCGAAATTGAGAACCATCCAGTCGTGTTGGCGTGAATTTTTGTTTCTCCTCAAAGGCATCGTAACCGGGACCAGCTTCAACCAGGCAATTTGATATGATCTCAGCTTTCGGGCCTTCTTTTGTGTCAGACTTTGGCGTACAAACGAACTGAAAGACAGAATGGAACGCATAATGAACATTAATGAATAATTGAATTTGAACAAGAGTAATCTTTAAATCAAATTTAAAATATTTACTTTCAATTTATGACGCAAATCATTGGGTTGAACTCGATAGAAGAATCCCTCCTGTTCGCATTTACTCCAAACGATATTCGACTCATTTTCATTTGTCAACCCTTTGAACCATTCGAATTGGCATTTATCTTGTTCGGTGAATACAACTTCAAATTTTGCCGGATAGCAATCGAAACCCACAAGAATGACTGTTGGCATCGTGAGCTGACCCACATACGGATGATTATATGCGACTGCAAATTCCTGGCCACATACTTTTAGTTTTGTTGTCTTGAATTCATGGTCGTCGACATTGGCTGAAAGCAAAATATTGAAAATCAAATTATCACAACGTTGACAAATTGGTTGAAGTAAATTTGTCATCTAGACAAGCTAAACTAGATAAAAATTGAATTTACCAAACACATCCAACCATGTTGTGGACTCATTCTTGTCAATCAAAAAGTCAATTTCGAATTGATTGACATCGGCTGTGGTGGTAACAGCTTCACCCTTCTTCGGTTTTTTTGCTTTCTTGAATTTTTTATTATGCTCTTTTTCGACGTTTGTTCTGATTCGAGCTAGTGTTGATGTGATGGTCTCACCAATGCTACGTTGAAAGTTGAACACACGATCAATGTTGACATCTCGGTTTTGATAACGAAAAACTAATTCAAAGTTGGCTGCGTCGGCGTGCCGTCGTATATGCGCAACAGCCATATTTACTATACGGTGCCAGCGGGTCATTCAAACCTAAAAATAGAGAAGAAAAATATGGGCATTTACTTTAATAGGTTTTCTGACTGAATTTTATACCTAAAATTTTGGAAGAAAAAGAAGAGAAGAAATTTTCAAAGAAACTACAAGCCAAAAAGGAAAAGACGTTCTCCGTTCATTTTTATTAAGATTATTTATTTAATTTTTATTCCTTCTAAAATCGTTTATGAACTTAATGTCACAATTTTACATGTCATTAAAAATAAATCGACCAAAAAAAGAGACATATTTGCAAAATAAGATCTAAATGATATTTCGTCAATTGTTTTTATATTCTCATTTAATAAATAATCAATTTGATTGTTACTTTTTTTCATTTCATTTTATAATTAAAATATTTATTTCATTTTCATTGTTTGTTTTGTTTTTTTTTTATATTTCAATTGCTACAGAAATCGAGTAGAAAAAAAATAGACACAACAAAGAACAAAGACTGTCTGCACCAAAATGAAAAAAAAACCAAAAAAAATACAACAAATGACTAGAAAGTTAAGATTACTATACGAAAAATGAAAGAGAAATAAATGACAAACAAAAGTTATTTTGTTAAAAGGCAAATGTGATAGAATGTTGTTCGAGTACATTCGACTACGTTATTGTTCGATTTTTTTTTTCTCAAAAAACTATACCCATTTGATATTCACTACATCTGTTTTTTTTATTTGCATCTTCATCATAATCTTCTTGTGTATTTTTTCTGTGTTTTGTTGTTGTTGGTGTAATTTCTTCTTGTTTCTCTTGCGGTACGAAAAAAATATATTATTTTGATTGAACCCATCCCACTCGGAACCAAAGTCAAGAAAAATCAATGCACGTGTGTCATGTTCAAGCTAGTGTAGTGTGTTTTATTTAAAAATTCCCTTTCTCTCGAGCTCGCTCTCTCATTCGCACGAAGAAAATAACAATATATTGGTTTCATTTTTTTTCATTTGTTTGGTTGTTGTTGTTTGCTAGAGTCGTTAGTTCTAAGAAGTTAATTTTTTTTTTCTTTAAATTTATTTAATTATTTTAGTTTTAAATTTATTTTCAAGTGAATGTGTCATTTGTTGTTGTTTTGAGTGGTTTTTTTTTAATCTAATTCATTATTGTAAATTATTTGCTCTGGCTGCCATATGTAGATTAAATCTGGGTTGCTTCTCATCATCATGTATGTATTTATAATTTTTAACTATGCATATTTTTTTAGTGTTTTTTTTTTTTGTTGGTTTCAAATAATTTCAAATAATTTTTTTTTCTCATCTATTTTCATAATTTAGTTTTGGTTTTGTTTATTTGCTTCTTATTTCATTTACTTGATTTCTATATTTTTTTTCTTCTTCTCCTTGTTGTTCTATCTTTTGTGTTGTGTCTTATAGAATTATTTATAAATGAAATCTTTGGATTTGATGATTTAGTTAACATGAAAACTATAATGATTTCTTGTTGCTGTTTGTTTCTTAGTTTTTTTTGTTCTTCTTTTGGGTGAATTCTACTTAACCGAATACTTTGTATCATTATTGTTATTTGCAGCTGTTCCACTTGACTTAAGTTCAATTAAATAACTTTGCTTTTTGTTTTTTCTTCTTCTTCTTCTTCTTCGTTTTATTATTATTTAAATCTCTTATTAAATCTAACACAAGAACACCATCATGTTTTGTCTTAATGTTATTAAATTAATTACAATCTCGCATTTCTTTTTAAGTAGTAATTCCCGCGTTAAGTTAAATTTAGTTGTGGTGTTTTTTTTTCTGGGAGAGTAGAGGGAGGAATGGTGAATTTATTTGTTTCAAACCTACATATGAATCTGCTTATAATCGGGGTTCGTGGATTTGTGTGTGTGTGTGTGTGTTTGTGTACTAAACAAATATGTTTCTATACAAATTTGTGATTTGAAAGCACGAATTTCAACTAGATGTTATGGACTACAAACTGATTAATTTTACGACAAAGAGAAGTAGATTGGTTTGCTATTGACATTTTGGTTTTTTTTGTTGTTGTTTGTTTTGCGATTATTTACAACTACAAATGAAAATAAAATCTGTGTGAATTGCTAGTGGTTTATAGCGAGTTCGATGAATGAAATTCGAGCCGAAAAAAATTCGAATTCTATTAATTTAGAGGAAAAAAAACTCTGTTGCCTAAATTAAATTTTAGAATTGTGTTTAATACACAAGGTGGACTTTTTTTTGCTAGAATTTGGACAAATGGCGAATAGAAAAGGATATTCTTGCCTAGTTGATGATTGAATCTCCCAAAAGAGATTTGGGAGACGGTCTTCTTCTTCTTCTTCTCATTCTTCATAAGCATCAAATCAACTGAGGAAATGAAGAGTCGAACCACTGGTTTTTCCATTTTATTCGAATAATAAAGCTCTTATGGTATACATTAAGTAATGATAATTTAAATGAGCGCGCGCTATGTACAATTAGAATTCTAATCACTGCTGATTAGATGTTCGATGCTTTAACTTCAACCGAAAATATTCCTCTTTATACAAATCAATTTCAAGCTTTTCCCATTTCCATGTCAATGTTAATTGAACAAAATTATTTTACTCTCTAGTCTCCTGATGTGTGTGTGTGTGTCATTTATTTGCTTTATAATTATAAACAATGAGTAAATAAATGAAAACAACTAAAATATATATGTAACTTTGATGCTTTCTTTTGTTCACGTTTTATTATTCATTTCGATTTAAAATATATCATATTATTTTCTTTTCTAAATTACAACGTTGATTTATTATTTGCTTGGATTGCTTTGAAAGAAAAAAAAACGTATGAAACAAACACAAACTTCGAATGTGTGTATCTGCGGATGTGTGTCTGTATGTGTGAGTGTGTATATGTGACCATTGGCCGACTGATAAGAATCCAGTTCAAAACATCGTCTATTCCACCACTTCATTGTATCGGAAACTAATATCACCAGTTGAATGATTATTATTTTACGTTAGGTACGTATTTATTCACAGAAGAACAAATGCAAGGAAAATTTAATTGGGTAAGAGAATAACCAAAAATAAAACCACCTTTTCGATGACAAAAACTATGAACGAATGGCTGCGTGTGATAACACGCTCTTTCTCTCTCTCTCTCTCTCTCTTCCCTTAATTACACACTCTTTTGACCTCAAACGATTATTATATTATTTATTGAACTTTATTTATGATTTTTCTTTTTGGGTTTTTTTTTCGTCTGCCCTGGAATGCATCGTTGAATTGAGTCTGAATATGCTAAAGCAGATATCTAGTAGTTTTTATTCCATTAGTTCAGAGTGTGGCGCGTGACTGAGTGAAAACGTGACTGAGTGTGTGTTGTGACTGGGTGAAAAGTACCTTATCCGTATCATACAAATGAACAACATGCATTTACATTTATCGAAGTAATTCCATATTTTATTTACTATTTTTCTTTTCCTTTTATTACGGGCTAATGTTTAATTTTTTGTTCCGTGTGTGTGTTTTTCTGTCTTCGTTTCGATTCACTTCCGGCTGCGGCTGCTATGTGTCAACAAATTCTTTTCGTGGTTTTTGGAAATTTATACAGTACAATTTAATCCATTTACTTGATTATCTTTCGGATGTTTTGGTTTTTTTTTCCTGTCTTTTACGGTTGCGCTATTGGGTCAGTTTGTTTAGCTTTTTATTGCCGTGTTAAATGAATGCTCTGCATTTGATCTGATAAAGAGAAAACAACAGCGACGAAAAAAATAAAACGAAGAAAACTGAAAAAGGACGAGCACGAAATTCCAATGATTGTGATAATGTAGCTGATTCGACTTGTGGTTGTGGTTGTTATTGCAGAATTTTTATAGCGATTTTTCGTTAGCCTTTGATTAATGCAAATTTTAAATTTGGCTCATTTGTTCGTTTTTTTTTTCTTCTCCTCTTCGATAACATCCATACTTGTTTTTATTGTGTTTCTTTTTGTGTCTTTTTGCATATTTTTTTTATCAATTTTGTGGTTTTAGTTTTCTGAATCGGGTTGTAGTAGCTCTATGTATCCATACGTTCCTCCTTTTTCTCACTCTCTAAGTCAGCTTAATTATTTATTGATTTACATTTAAACGTGCCATTGTAAAGTGTTCGTGTGTGTGGTGTGTGTTAGTTGAGTGTTCCTGCACTTTGCTTCTGTTGCTTCTGCTGTTTGTGTCTCTCTTTCTCCGTGTGTGTCTTTCTTTTTAAATTTAATCGTGGCTATTGCATAGATTTCTCTTCAATTTCGTCTATTTTCTGCACTCATTTGTTCACTCGTTTTCTTGTCCATCTGTTTAATTTAACAATGTTTTTAATTTGCGCGAGCATTTCGGCAGTAAGACCTGCCCTAACTAGTTGTTGAAGGCATTGGTGAAACGGGTGATGTTGGACTATGGATTGAATCACGTGGACAACCTGATATTGTAATTGCTAATTTCCGTGATCCGGCATGATCACGATGCTCACAAAGCCAAATACCTTGCCATGTGCCCAATGTTAATTTACCATCCGTAATTGGAATACTTAATGAACTACCCAGAAAGCATGCTTTCACATGTGCTGGCATATCGTCGGGACCTTCGCACGAATGTCGATACGGTACATCTTCCGGTACGATTTTATTCAACATCATTTCCATATCGTCTCGAACATCGGGATCCCAGCTTTCGTTTAGCGCTAAACTGGCGGATGTGTGTAAAATTTGTATGTGAAATAGGCCAACCGAAAAATGGCACAGCTCTGGAATTTGACGTAAAATTTCGTCGGTAACTAAATGAACACCTCGATGTTTTGGTCGTAGATTAATTTTTCGCTGGAACCACGCTGATCCAATTACAATGCCTGGATTCGATGTAGCCATATTTTTTTGGGGAATGTTGTGTTGTTGGTTTGGTTTGGTTTTGGTTTCGTTGGCGTATGATTTTCTCACTATATACGGAAATTTGTGTGATTTGATGGCTCTACGTTGTGTATGAGTATATATATGTGTGTGTGTGTTGAACGTGGTTACGTTTATGAATTTTACTTGTCTCTCTCGTGTTCTATCGTGTGGCTTCTACTGCTCCGTTTTGCAAACGCTTATCACGTTTGCTTCGAAATTTTGCAAATCCTTTCGTTTTTTTTTCTATCCCATATGAATTGATTAACACATTTATTTAACGCACACTATTGCTTCTTATCTTACAAATGAATTTTTCTCTTGCTCGTGTCTCTCGTCGCCGTCGTCGTAGTCGACCAATTTTAATGTTGGAAGGTTACACACTAGTTTCAAGTTTCAAGTGATTTTTATTACACACGCAAATCTTTATCAATTCAATTACGGGTATTGAACGCTTATGAAATACGTTTTGGTCAATGTTGGTAAATTGTATTGAATAGAAAAATGATAGGGACAGAGAGAAACTGTAAAATTCCACCGAAAAAAATAAACAAAACTATCGAATAAAAAACTTCATTTTGGCCATTTTTTTATTTGTGTCACTGGGTTTCACGACGATTTCGTTTTTTTGACAATTATGAAATGTCAGTTCTTTGGGAACAAAAATTCAACAGAAAAAACACCTACACCAACAAGCAAAACACACACGCCACTCACATACACTCATACGCATCTGCATACGCACACTCTCTCTCTCTCTCACACACAGACACAAACACACACACATACTCTGCCTTGGTGCTGTTATTATTGTTGCAAGTATGTCTCTCACTTCATACTCACATTTGCCACGAGTGTTCTATCGCCGTAGTTTTACACAAACCCATCGGCATGTGCAACTTTTGTGACATCGTTTTGTGTTGGATTTTTAATTCAATCACTTCTTATACTAGAATAATTAAAAATATTGAAATAAATACGTACGCAAATTCGGCTCCGAACAAAATAATCCGCGTGATCGTCGATGTATAGCTGTCGGGTTTGTATGGGATTGTTTATGAAGGCATGTCGAATATGTGTCTGTGTGTCTTGAATATGTGAGATGGCAACACCACGAATTTCACTACACCTTCAATGCAAATGACAGTTGCCGTTTTCAATGTGTTGCTCGGAGTGTATGTGTGTGGGCAGTAGCAGCATGAACGCGGACTACGAAACCATAACCTTTAAATGACTTCAGAATGAGAAGAAGAACGAATAACGCAGTGGTTCAGTAAACAACAAGTTTATTTCCCAAATGTATCAATGAAATCTGTGATTTGTTTTATGCTTTGGGCGAAATTTGCTTCCGTTTCACCCAACAGTGGCACCACAATGCTTTCATCGTACGATTCTTTTGCTTCGTTGAGAACCATTTGAAAGATTTCACATTCGATGTTTTCTTTGACTTTCGCCTCATTGTAACCACGTTCCTTTAGACGATCGTACAAAATCGTGTTGTTGCACTGAATGACGAAAACGGCATCGAACCATCGTTCCGGAAAGAATTCGCATGAATGATATTCAACAATATTTCCACCGGATTCCATTTCAGGCTCCAAATGATCCATAAGCTGTGGAATGATACAAGTGCTTTTATGTCTAAAGCATTGTTTGAACTTGGGTTGATGTCATGGTTCAACTTACTTTGTCTTCATCTAAAACTGGACACTCCAATGTTTCATCGTATTCCTCAACGAATCCATTGTCTTTGGCAATTTTCGAAACATCTTGCCATTTCATCGAACGTTGTTTGGCTATTTCGGCACATATCTTTGATTTTCCAACACCAGGCGTGCCTTAAAGAATGTTTTTCCAATTGAAACTTGAATGAATATTGAAAATTCTTACATTCACCAATCATTAAAATAGCTCAAACTCACCAGTTATGAGAATATTCGGTGATGTCACGGTCATTTTAGCGATTTATTTGTAGAAAAAATTGTGTGTAACCGAACGTACGATGGGTATACGGTGTGTTTGTTTAAATCAATGGTTGCAGCTGTCAAAGTCGTTTCGACATTCGGACATCAACATTGAAATGGATGCATTCAATGACACCAAACAAATTGTTTTGATAAAAAAAAACAACATAGACCAATTGGCTACTATCAATGACTATGCCAAAATAGTAGTTGTGTGGTTTGGCAACACAATTAATGAATGAAAAAAATATGTTTATCACTTATGAATTGCCAACGTGGATATGCTATCAGCAAAAACATCTAAACTAATGAGCATATTATTTTTTTTTCTTTGAAATTTTTTTTTTATGCTCATACGTCAAGCTCAACGGAGCACCAATATTGGTTGGCTCTACCCTTATCATTTTACAAATGGTCAAATATTAACGCGCTAACCAATATTTAACTGTTTGAATTAAAGACGGTTGCATCGAATATACAGAGAAGTTCTATTAAATGTTTAGTCTTGAAGTTGTCGTAGCTCCAGTGGCGCAGTCGGTTAGCGCATGGTACTTATAGGACAGTAATAAGCAATGCCGAGGTCGTGGGTTCGATCCCCACTTGGAGCATTTGTTTTTTTTTCTCGTTACATAAGTTCACAAAGGTATCATTTAAGAAATTCAAATAGAAACTTTTGCCTCACGGAAATCTCGCCTGCTCGCTCACCTGCTCAGTCATCTGTTGAACATATTTCAACAAATTTTTTTTTTTCACCGAATTGAAAGAAGTTTGACAGTTTCAATCAACTAATTTCCATGTAAAATCGACCGCTAAACATTTTACAAGCAGTTAACAGTAGCCTACACACACTAGAAAGTGAGTAAAAGGGTGTTTGTTGGCAATAATGGGCGATTTCCATACATTTTTCGACTTTTTGGGTGATTTTTTCCATTTCTTCGGAAATGTGAGGCTATAGCCTCGTTATAACGACCAGTTTCTGCCTAAAATCGAGCGCCAAACATTTCCTCAGTACAGATCAAGTATATAAAAGTATCACAAATGTGAGAAAAATGGTATTTGTTCAATACCGTTTTGTATTTTGAAGTCAAGGCACTCTGGATTCATATTCGTTATGAACGAATGAATCATATTTCGGTGTTCATGGTCAAAATAGTCGATTGCGAATTGGACTTCACTATAGCTCACAAAAGAGCAGTCAATGACAGATAGCTGAGGATATACAGTCACTCACAAAATTGTCTGTACACCTCACGATTTTCATACAAATTGGCGTTTTTCGTGTCTCAATTCCTGTGGATTTTTTATTCTGAAATTTCACTATTTTGGTCTTCAGGCCTTCCACCTACAGTATACCAAAAATCTTCGAGGTTCGATTTCGCGAAGCATATTTTTTTGAGACACGAAAAACGCCAATTTGTATGAAAATCGTGAGGTGTACAGACAATTTTGTGAGTGACTGTATGCTGAGCATAGGAACTCAGAAAGCTGAGATTGGGACGTTTGGATTTTGTGACTTGCTATTCGTGCAAATTTATGTGGAATTTTGGTGGAGTGTTGATGGAGTGTAATGGAAAATGTGTTCCAAACTCCCCTCCATCCCCCAAATTGGTTTGAATAGCACGTCACAAAGTCAAAATATCCCAATCTCAGCTTGCTGAGTCTCTATGCTCAGCATATATCCTCAGCTATCTGTCATTGACTGCAAAAGAGCATACCTTTAGTGCAAAAGCATTTATTGCTCTCCCTAACGCAAACGCCATCTATTTGGTGCGAACATGAAAACAAACAAAGTGACTCCAGTTGCCAACCAATATATGAATCGGTGGAAATGAGGGCAGTGTATAACAAATATGCCGAAGAAAACGAACCACAGCGTTTCCTCTATATAGAGATGTTGTTGTAGTATAATCCTGTATGGATCAATTTGTTTGTTTTCATGTTCAAGATGAACAGATGGCGCTCGCGGTGAGGCAATAAATGCTTTTGCACTAACCGTATGCAAAAGAGCTAAACGAAACAGTGACGAAAGCATCGGCTTCAATTGAATGTGTTTGAAGGGATTGTGTAATATGCGAATATTACAAGAAAACCAAAATGAATAACTCACTTCTTCTTCGGGAACCTTTTTCACGTGATTTTATTTTTAATTTTTTGTCAAAATTTTCTTTCACCGAATTGAAAGAAGTTTGGCAGGTTTCAATCAACTAATTTCCATATCAAATCGATCAAATCAACCGCTAAACATTCTACAAGCAGTCAACGGTAGCCTATACACACTGAAAAGTGAGTAAAAGGGTGTTTGTTGGCAATAATGGGCGATTTCCATACATTTTCCGACATTTCGGGCGTTTTTTTGCATTTTTTCAAGCATAAAAGACTAACTACCGATTTCTATGAACTAATTACTATGTAAATTAGACCGCTAAACATTTTGAAAGCAGTGAATAATAGCCTAGAACCACTAAAAAGGGAGAAAAATTGTGTTTTCTTGGCAATAATTGACGATTTTCATACATTTTTCGACATTTTGGGCGATTTTTGCCATTTCTTCGGAAATGTGAGGCTATAGCCTCGTTAAAACGACCAGTTTCTGCCTAAAATCAAGCGCCAAACATTTCCTCAGTACAGATCAAGTATATAAAAGTATCACAAATGTGAGAAAATTGTATTTGTTCAATACCGGTTTGTATTTTGAAACTGGTGTAAAGGTAA